ACCGAATTCAGCAATATTCCAGCTATATGACGGCGGTCTGTAAATAATCGAGTCTGGACCAGACAATCCAGTGATTGACATCATGGGAATTGATCCACGCATTGGGATACGATGACACGCATCAACCAAGTAAACGAGCCTGACCACCTGATGCCGTTAGTCGCCTCTTAAGTTTGTTTGTTTGTTGCTTAACGCCGCACTCAGCAACTGCCTCACGATAAACATAGTCGCCTCTTACGGCAAGCATGGGTAGCTGAAGACCAATTCTACCCCGGATCTTCACGGGTCCGTTTCTGCGTGGATTGGGATTGATTTGTGTGGAAAGAGTGAGGTACTGCGAACTTGTGATGCAAAGATGGAAAAATCGCCAAAACACAACCACGTGAGAAGCTGGCACCGAAATATACCAACATGCCATGCACGTGCAGCATCACTTGTTGGGCTATAAAAACGTTGGGTTTTCATTTGCATGCCATCACAATCTTTCATCAAGTGAACAGCGAAAATATGCCGAGACTGACAGAAGCCAAACGCAACAACGTCATCGGCCGACTGCAAACTTGAAAATAGCTTCAGTTGTAGCCAGGTTTTTGCCATGTAGCACCAAGCACCATTACAAGACTGTGGAACCGTTATCACACACGGGAAAACACGTGACCTTCCCACATCCGGTCGACCACATATCACTACTAGAGCACAGGACAGATTCATACGGCTACGTCACTGACGTGAACGAACCACCACGGCCATCTCTACAACTACGGCTACGGCAATACCATGATAACGTAAGATATCAGCCCAAACAGTTAGGACCTGCCTCGTCACTTGCGACGTCAGTGGTGTCAAGGTCACGGAGGATGGCCACAACCGCGATTGAGACAAGTGTGGTGTGTGCAGCCATCTCCTGCACTGGTCTAACAGACCAGGTGCACGTTCTGGGGAATTTAACGTCAAAAGGTTACACGGATGAGACTCTTCGGCCACACGTCTTTCCCATTATGCAACAAGCGAACGCCATGTTTCAACAAGATCACGCCCGACCTCACATGGCAAGACTGACAACAGCCCTTTTCAGGAATCTCACAATTAAGGTCCCCCCATGGTGCTCCAGGTCTCACGATTTGAACCCAATCGAACATTTATGAGATGCACTGAATCGGCGACTGCAAGCACGTCAGCAACAACCACAGAACCTCCGGCAGTTGGCACAGTGTTTTATTGTACGATAAACAACTCCCACTCGTCTATTTTTTAAAAGACCCAAATCATTATTCGGATTGCTAGTCTAAGTCTTGTGTATAATATATATTGCACGTTTTCCATAACTACAATAACGAGTGAAACATATACGCGCAAGATCTGTCCTAAATGCCTCTGTTTATATGTTCCCTTACTTCCTTCCGTCAGTATATGTATAAACTCTATTCAATAACATAATGACACTTGGCTTTCAAACGATATCAATGTGACTGTAATAGTTCACCTATATATGTTTTATCAACACACACACACACACACACACACACACACACACACACACAGAAAGAGGATTTAACTTATATTGCTTGACTGTATTGTGCCGTATATGTGAGCTCCATTGCTTTTGTGTGAATAAGCTTTTGCTGGTGAGTTTTACCTGTCCCTGTACCACGTCAATCCGGTGTTTTGGGTAGTTAATGTTAGTTTGTTATGATGGAGTCTTGATAACACGAACAGCAATCCACGATGAGACACAACCAGCCCGGTCACGCTGATTGTATTCACCGATTCTATTTAACATATTGTTGCGTCCCTTAGTTCTGCCAGGACCCGCTGATCGCGGGTTAATTGCCAGAATCGCCCTGATCTGTCTTCCGGTATCAAAGATGGGGAACGTCTTAGAAGTGCGTCACCATCCTCCCATCTCAAGCTGACACTCCGTGGTATAACTGAAATAATGTTCAGAGCGGCATAAAATCTTATTCAGTCGCTCACTTGCAGCATGTCATAGAGATGACATCAAAAGCACTCAAGTGGGGATCGAAAATATATCGACCGGACAGTGAGTGCCTTTAGGGTAGAGAGAGTCAAATTTGCCATTTCAATCTGGTCATATATCTGTTAGATAGCACCCAATGCGTTATCGGATATTGAAACTAAACATCTCAGATAACATTGATCAATTAACTAAGGAGCCCATGAAACACGAGGCTGGTTGCGTGCAGTATGAACTGTGGGGGCTTAACCTATATCGTCGAGATTAGAGGAGTTCATTTGGAGTGAATGACTACATTATAAGCAGATTATACATGTATATATGTATTGTCATTTCCAAGCCAAATGTGACAGATAATTCATACTTATCACTAATGGATATTTTATGTCCGCTTCCATAATTGCATCCATTCTTTTGAAAAAACAAACATTTAATGTCACGTCTATATCGGGACCTGTTTTTTATTGTACTATCGACTGTTTCAGGCAGAATTTTCTTACAAGGTAACTTTGATCCAGGGGACCATTACGACGCAAAGACTTTTTGTAGCATACCTACCTACTGATGGCATTAAGCTTACGCTGTTGTTTATTCAGCAAGGTTACGACGGTCATGCCTAACCCAGAAGATAGAGAAAAATGTAATTGGCATATGGTACCTTCAGTATCAGGAATAAGAACATCGCACAATTCAGTTTATATATTTATGTAATATGAAAGTAGAAAACAAACATATTTTGAAATTCAACTGGTAATGTTTTAACAACGACAATTCGTGAAACATTTGTTCCTGCTTTCAAGGAACATGGGATATCTAGTTGACACAATCATAGTGGTTTAAATGATACTGACTATTTTCAAAGTAATAGCTAAATTGTTGTAATACTTGTAATACAATGTTATAATAAAGTATGTGTGGAGACATGCAGATATTGTTAAAATTAAAACCCATGTAACGTTCTGAGTGCGTTTGATGTTTTTAACCATGAACCATACTCCTCTATGAGAGTTACAACCCAATGGTAATATGTTTACTCCTGAAGCATGACACATCAATTATTCACACTGTCCAAAAGTGCAAATATCTCGCTACACGGAAACTGGATCAATGTTGCCCCCCAATCCCTCTCGACAGGCAGACCCCGATATACGGAAATGGGTCAACGTTTCACTGCAGCGAAATGCTGTATGGGGAAATAGGTCGGACAGAGCCGGACTGGTACCCTGCCCTTCGCCTCCTGGCTGCTGCAGGCGACAAGCACAAGCTCTCTAGGACAGGTCGTGTCTCCCTCTTATGATTGTTGCCGAATATCATAGAAATGTTCAGAGTAATAATTTACACTAATGTTTTAAAAAATATTTTCATAATTATTTATACATAGAAACTGAACAACAAAAGTTCCTGTGACATTGAATAAGATTTAATGCAAAGTTATGTTTTTTACCAAATCTGAAACAATTTCGGTTTGCAACAGATAAAAGACTCCTGTAAGTGTTCAAATGGTTTAATTTGCCATACTGTCTTCAGAAAATGCGTGATTTCATAAAAACAAAACCATGAACATGCCAAAATGTCAATTGACAAATCAATAGCGTGTGTGTCCAACTCCGGTTGCGATGAAAGCAACACATCTTCGTCTCATGGAATGGACCAGGCGTCGCACAAAGTCCTGTGGGATATATGTCCATATATGCTGGAGCATGTTTCGAAGTTCCTGGAGTGTCTGTGGAACACGTGGTTGACGTCGAAGGCGCCGATCCATCTCATCCCACATGTACTCGATTGGTGACAGATCAGGGGAGCGAGCCGGCCAGGGGATGACATTCACGTTGTTTTGTTGAAGAGAATCCTGAACAATCGAGCAATATGAGGCCGGGCTTTTTCATGTTGAAAGGTAATGCCTGGACGACGCAAAAACGGTAGAACAACAGGGCCGATGATCTCGTCGCGGTAGCGCTGTCCATTGAGATTTCCCTCTACCACTATCAAACGGGTCTTCTGACTTGCTGTAATCCCACCCCATACCATAACGCTGCCGTCCCCGAACCGATCTTCTTCAATGACACAATGATTGACGTAACGTTCACCTCGACGTCGGTACACTCGAATCCGTCCATCGTTGTGGCTGAAGTGAAAACGAGACTCGCCAGTGAATAGAACTTGTCCCCACTGCATGGCCGTCCAGCGTAGACGCTGTCTGCACCACTGTAGTCGTGCTTGACGTGGGGTGGTTTCCTGTCAAAATGGGACGTCTGGCGGGTCTTCTGGCGACAGTCCCTGCACATCTGAGGCGACGACGTACGGTTTGTGAAGATATTCGTCGAAGGCCAGGGATGCGTCTTGCAGTCACTGTTGCTGGCTGGAATCGATTTCGTAGGTGTGTTGTTCGAATCCAGTTGTCTTGTCAATTATTGGTTACGCGTGGCCTGCCACTCCGAGGATGGTCTCTGACTGCATTCGTCTGTTGCCAACGTTGCCATAAACACCAAATGGTGTTTCTGTGGACGTTAAATTGTCTTGCAACATCACGTTGACTCGATCCTGCTTTAAGCATACCAATGGCTCGCAGACGCTCATTTTCGGACAGGCGTGGCATTCCGTAATGTTGAATAATTGCGTGATTTTGTTGTTTTTCTGAGTGGTTGTCGTCAGCACGATGCTAAACAATGCATATGGAATCCCGTTAATGCACATGTTTTTATACCCATTCTTGTGTAGTGAAATGCATGGGGCTTGCATTCAAGTCAACTTTTGCATGGAATGCATGCTTTTCTGTAGCAGTTGCGTTTTTGTGACTTGATTCCATACATGTACTACAATATTGAAAACCAAACTTTACTTGTTTGAAGAATACACGAAAATATTGATGTCACGGGAACTTTTGTTGTTGAGTATAGTATGTATGCATATCATTACACATATGCGAGACAAAGATAAAGGTTCTTTGAATACTCTTTCCAACGATTACTCATCTCCATGTTCCCTTGTCCACATGTTATTTTCACAAACCCATAACAAAAAAGGCAATGAATATGTTGCTTTTTATTTACCTTGACGTTCATGGCATACACTTCTATCGAATGTTCCTGTTCGTTACTGAATATGGTGTGACGATTTTATGGACGCTTTTGTCGATTTCAAGGTAATGTTGAACTCGTGCACCTTTTGCATTGTCACTAACACACATTATTCTCTGTAGCATCAAAACATGTTTAATCTTGATTTCATAGTGTCACTTTATCATTAAACAATTTGACTAACCACGGGTCTGGGTAGTCTTGTGGGTACACAGGTCCTACTCAGGACCTACTCAGGACCCACCCGACCAGATTTCCCCCAGCCCAGTCCTACAGTGAGTGAGTGAGTGAGTGAGTTTGGTTTTACGCTGCTTTTAGCAATATTCCAGCAATATCACTGCGGGGGACACCAGAAATGGGCTTCACACAATGTACCCATGTCGGGAATCGACAGCCCTACAGTGGAGTAGCAGAAAGACGACAGACTGATGACATAAAATAAGTTTGTATTGACATTTTTTTACTTCACTGAGTTAAACATTAATATGATACAAAATATGAAATAGAATATCCTTCACTGATTAACAATTTGCTACAATTAAGTAAATCATTTTTCACAGAAACATTTCACTAAATGCTGGTATAAAAACATATGTACAAGAGCAGAATGTTAGGATATATTAAAATTCTATTTAACATGTATATTGATCTAGATTGCACAGGTTCAGTCTATATAGGCAAAGTTGAAAAATGAGAGATAACCATTTAGCCTCACTGATAAAAGTAAAATAACCGTGCATGATTCTAATTTCTAGAAAATATTGGTTTTCGCAATTATATCAACCTAAATTGCTTTTTGTAGCCAAGAATCAGAATCATATACCACGCATATACTCACTGATGATATGAAACTCTGATCTTTGTCTTTATTATCAACATTTTGAAAAACTTATTTTCAATCACTATTATGCAGAAACTTTCAAATATGCAAAACAGTCTACTAATACTTGACCTATTTACCTATACTACTGATAAAAAGTGACTGCCCCCTATTTCTTTCATATTAGAGATTAACTATAGCAATATGAAGGAATGGGGTTGTCCTTAACTTTTGTTTAGTAGTATATTTGTCTTAAAGGAATGGATGTAGATAGCTTTGAATGCAATAATCTTAAAAAACATCATCACCATAATGATCAATATAATTGTACCTCTAAATCTAAACTTCAGAATTGCATCATGTTTAAACTACTTTCAAAGGGGAAAAAGTTAAAAAGTTACTACAAATCTATTATGCCAATAAACATTACAGCACACTTGAAGTTCCGAAACTAGAAATAGGCTCAAAATAGTACATCTATATTTATCTCCCATCAAAAGGCAAAATGATGTTAAAAAGGGAAAACTGAAACTTATATTCAAGAAATCTAAAATATTTTTACTAAAAACTGTCAATTGATAACCAAAAATGTAAAGAATTTTCAACTTGATCCCAATATTCCAATTCAAAATAAACAACAATTGTTCAATCTCAGCTTAATATTATTGAAACTCATGAAATGCCATTGTAACAGATAATACATAAGAAAATATATATATATATCATGATAAAACAGTATTCAGAAAACGATGTCTTAAGAATTATAAATGTTCAAAATACTAAATAATGGGAGAAGTAGAAAATAACTACACAGTGAGAATTGTACCCTAAGTTTGTTAGCAAGATACAGGAATGTCTAAGTTAAAACATGTGACAGTTATCAAAATGAAAACCATATTGCTGTAGAATCACTTTTTCACGACATTCTTTAATATATGTTTATGATAGCAATGAGAGCCTGAATGGGTATGCTGAGATTAGCTCCATTACATGTATACAACGACACCTTAATATTGTGGACCTGGAGTTAGGAATACAGAAATACCTGTGGACCCATGCTGTAGCTGGAACTTTATGAACGTATATGCAGTTTGATAGTGACAGGTCTATTTGCAGTCAAATTTGTTTGTTTGTGTGTTGTTTAATGCTGCTCTCAGCAATATTCCAGCTAAATGATGGCGGTCTGTAAATAATCAAGTCTGGACCAGACAATCAAGTGCTTGATATCATGAGCATATATCTATGCAATTGGGATACAATGACATGCATCAACCAAGTCAGCGAGCCTGACCACCCGATCCCGTGCATCGCCTCTTACGATATGCATAGTCGCCTTTTCCGGCAAGCATGGGTTGCTGAAGACCTATTCTACCTCGGTTCTTCTGGGTATGTAGTCAAGTGATGAATGGAGGCAGTGTGTAACCCAAGGACTTCCAACTCCAACGTACATGTACATTGTGCAAACCCTACCGTCATAGATTAGATGGCCACAGGGTTGTGGCACATGCTGCAGGATGTGGAGTAGATGGCCACAGGGTTGTGGCACATGCTGCAGGATGTGGAGTAGATGGCCACAGGGTTGTGGCACATGCTGCAGGATGTGGATTAGATGGCCACAGGGTTGTGGCACATGCTGCAGGATGTGGATTAGATGGCCACAGGGTTGTGGCACATGCTGCAGGAGACATTTTGCCACTTGTGAAATGCAATCTGAATGTTCATTGGTCAGAGCACTCGCTGGTTTCCCTCTAGCTTAATTTATTAGATAAAAATATGAGTACAATGCTAACCGTCAGTATGTCTTCATGGGTTATAAAGGAACAAAGTGTATACAATCTGTGAGGTATTGACAATGGCAGTCAAGTTCCCATTTCAAGGATTTTCTTGAGGTCTTCATATGTACCGTGCACTTTATTTTGTCTAATTTGGCTGATCGTAAACTAATAGATTGATGTATATCTGAAATTTCTCTGTGAAGACAAACAAACTGGTGTTTAAATGGCTTGAGTTAAACTGGGGCTGTCAACTGTCCTGAGTCCACTTCCCTTTTAAACCAAGGCCATTTGTCTCCTCAATGAGGTGAAATGCCATCTCTTTCACATTAAAAGGTGCTGATGTGAGAGATAAAAATTCTTAAAAAATAAAGATGACAAAGATGATGACATGTAGTAACCATAGAGTTGTAAAACTGGTCCCAGTGAGGGATGGAACATGAGAAAGCACTAATGGAGTCGCATGGACACTGTCCATCCGATACGAGCATGCGGAGCAGACGGTCACACTGCCCATGACTTGGAAACAACCCTATGCAAATATACTTCATTGCTGACCAGCTGACAAGGTGGCAGTACAACATCAAGGACTCTGAAACTTGGGCAAAAGAAGCCTCAGAGCTCGTCAAAGAGTTTTTTCATGAAAACATGTCAGCTGGACCAATGTTCAAGGATTTGTACGGAGGAAGAACTCGGCTTTGCACTGAACACAGAAGCAGGCTGCAAATGCTTAAGAAGGTTTGTCATCAAAAGTCCGCACTATTTTGGAAACACAAACATTTGAGAGATGTGTAAAATTTAATTTGAGTTTCCAGCTGTGGAGTTAAAAATGTGAGTAAAGTACTCCTTGAAAGAGTTATCTCCCTTGAACACATTATCCAGGAAATGTGAGATTCTGACCAAGTATGTCTGGTGTCAAACTTCCCTTTGTAGCAGTGTAAACAGCATCATTAGAGTGATTTGCATTTCACAACAAGAAGATGCATATGAGATCTTGTGTTGGAGTGATTGCATGATTGATGTTCGCACATTCTCCTCATAATATCTGCTGATTTATGTCCTTTTGATTTCTAAGGCAGGTGGTCCGCAGATTACATCATTCATTAAGGTATTGATCACTGAGGGGGGTGTCACTAGAGTGTCATAAAAAAATAATACACATATTTGGGGAGGGTCATGAAAATGGACAGTTTATAATAAAACAAAAAGTGCTTTTGAATTGTCTTTTGGGGGAGGATCATAAAAAACATGTCCAAGCATTAGGGGAGGGTCAGTATTTTCAGTAAATTAGTGCATAAAGAACCTCTGACAGCACCCACCCCCTAAAATGACCAGTCCCTAAATCAAGATGGACCTTCCATGACAGGGGCTCACTTTTTCAGAAGAAATGTGCTGTAACAACGGGTGAAGCTTGAATTATCTCCTTTTCTTCTCCATTCCAAAAAGAAGACCAGTCAAGTCAATGCCACAATGTGTTGAGAGAGTCCAGGAGATTCAAAATGCTGTTTCATTTCAAACCATTTTTATGTTACATATTCAGCAGAGAGCTTGAGGAGAGATTCCAGGTAATCTTTGTCCGTAAAATCAGATCATCTTCCACAAAATGTCCATTTTGTTCAGGTAAATATGAAGAAAATCTCTCTTCCTTACAGAATCACAAACTGACTTAGACCCAGTTCACACAACCCCCTGGATTTTTCCCAAGACAGCCTTGGCACCCAATGAACACTGATGAGTACACAAATACTGCTTCTGATGTTGGCAGCAATTCATTTGCATTTTGTCACATGACCATTTCCAAGGTTGCAAGGTCATGTCTGGATCAAAAGGTCGCTGAAGATGGAGAGGAGTCTGTCAATGCCAGCAAGGTAGCCGTCCTCATGGTTCCCTTCTTGCCACTCCGTACGATGATCTACGTTCACAACTGATGGGAGCGGCTCTGTTTTACCAAAGTCAATCATCCATACATTAGCTTTGTCAGCATCATGGACAAACAACAACGAACTGCTGATCACCTGTTGGAAAAAGCAAAATACATTATATAAAATGTGTGTGTTTCTGCTAAATATTGGACACTAGACACAGGACGAAAAAAATTTAATATAAAATTTGATCAATCCAATCTAGGATACTACTGTACATTCAGTATTTTGTTTTATCATGTCGAGCCTTTCCCTTCTAGAAGCTCCACAAGTTTTGCTGACTCTCCAGATTCTCATCTTTTGTCATAAATGACACATCCTTTATAAGAATTACCTCATCACCTGCCCTTACCTCATGTCTCATGAAGAACTCTGATTCCGACTGAGCATCGCGTACAGCCTTTAACCTCTCAATGTACTGCTCCTGTCAACAGTGGAAACCTTGTCAGTTACATTAATCTGACAAGAAAGTCAAAATCTAAATTCCATATTCTGAATTCAGTCCCATTCTGTCCTGGAATCAACCCATAGATGACAGCAGATAAATGGAGAATATTGGTATCAAATATATCAACACAAGCCAGTAAAAGTTCCAAAATCTGAGGCTTTCCGAGGAAATTTAAAGTTTTATCGACGAGTGTTGATATATTTGATATCAGAGGACACAAGGGTAAGATTTTATTTATCATCCAAAATCTTTCTTTCAACATTTTGTAAACAGTAATAAGTAGTGTTTCTTTGTAAAAAGTCCTGCTGACCAGCTTCAGCAGCGGCGAGATTAGTGATGTAATTCGATTGTGATGTCATGGTAACCGATGATGTCACAAAGGTCTGCATTATGATGCAGTTTCATTGCAGCAACATCTTCAAGAACATATTTTCACCCAAGTGATATCTCCTGTGGAATTCAGTTTTGGATGATAAATACCATACTATTTTCTTATCAACTGACCACAATAGTCATGTTTTCCCCAACGAAGGTCTTCAGTTTTTCCAGGACGTGTTCTCTTGTTTTAGTCTTCTTGAAGTCCTTACTCGATGAGCCATCACTTCTCTGCAACCAAACATCCATCAGTTATATCAAACACACAGATTTAGACTGTCAACACTTAAAGTAACACAAGAACTATATACACAGTACAACAAATGATTTTTTTTTATGCATCTCTAAAATAAAATCTTTAATTTTCTAACATCATTCATTTTTCTTAAATTTGATTTTCAAACTAAGATCAGAATCCTCCATATTTTAATAAAATAAAAACATTATTTTCATAATATATAATCTAAATCTTTCAAATTACCCATATTTCCTATCTACCAACAAAATATTCTCTTTCTTGTTCTACCTGAAAGTCGGACAGTGTATCCTTACATATGTTGTATGTAAAGTGTTCATTCACCATTTAGCACTTTAGCACTACGATGGCCAGACTGAGGTGCTAGGTGAGTATCTGGACTCTTTTGCTGCTTACCTTAATGCCCTCAATTCTGAAGCCGAGACTGACAGAAGAGCTCATCTCGTCCCTCCACTGTAGATACCTAGCCTTTGTCACTCCTTCCTTCTCTCGTTCCTCAGGCGTGGGTGCGTTGGGATCCACCTCTGTCATCTTCTTGTACATATCCTGAAACGACAGGTGCCCAGTGTCTGACTGATTGAACATTTTTGAAAGCCATTGCGATTAATCACCAGTACTTCTTAAATCTTCAACCAGCTCCGTGGTCTAGTGGTAGATCGTTTGCCCGCAGAACTGAAGGTCCAGGGTTTGTTCCCCGACCAAGTCATACCAAAAGATGTTGGCATTAAGGGGCTAACAAGCACGCACGCACGCACGCAGAGATTGTTTTGTACATGTGTTTCCATTAAGTAATGATTTGACACAGTAGAATAGGAACACAGTTATATTATATATAAGTCAGGTGAAATGGAGTTGAATATCATGTTCAAGTTTCTTTCGCTCATATAGCGACATGAAAGCATGTGTGTGGCCATGTTGAAAATTGGATTTGAATCTTTTGAACAAATTGGGGTGTGACCATTGGTGGGAAAAGCATGTGAAGTCTTAGCTTCAGAGGTCCAGTGGTTTCTGAGAAGATGTTTATGATGATTGACGGATGTGAAGGTACATGTATTCTGACAAATCGTTGTACGTGTATCAAGTAACATATATGAAATAGCTGTCAGCAGCATTCCATGGCCTTGAATATCTATCAACTAATCTCTGTGTGTGACATCCCTGGGGTGTCATGGACGATGCTGTAATTGGTGGCCGGGGCCCCACAGCTGACGCCAGCAGGACTAGTCTCATGTATCAACATGGCTTTAACAGACAGTTGTATTTTAGAACCAGTCAGAAATAGAATACATAGTTCCCAGATCAAAGCTGCTGACTTTTCCTGTCTTTAAAGACCCTATTCATTTAGGACATAAATATTATGTTTTCAGATTTGCTGTTATTGAGAATTTGATGCCAAATCTCTGCACATCAAATACTCAAGAACATCTGATAACATGATGTTTATTGACGTTGCAAACACAAAAAAGCATAGATTATTTTCTGTAGCACTCTCTTTCTATGCTTTGTTTGTTTTTTAACATCACAGGCAACAATATGCCAGCAAAATGATGTCGGCCTGTACATAACTGAATGTGAACCAGGCAATCCAGTGATTGATATTGGGAACAACGATCCACGCCACCTCTCTTTTTCTGCCCACTCATCCCATTCCAATCGCTACACAAATATTCCACAAAATATACAGACCAAACAAAAGTAAGGGATCAAAAGTATTTGGGGGGACTGTTTCATAAAAATATTCCCAAAATTATTCATGATCCCAACACAGATTTTGTTCAGTATATATATACACATGACCGATACAGCTACACTAGGGTACAATCAGGCTATTCACATATCCTTACAACGACCACATCAACATTTCTAGCAAACACTGATCACTCGGGTTCTATTGAAAGGAAATGTATACAAAAGTTCCCTTTAATAATCAAATGCAATTGAAAACCTTCCACACAATCGTGTGCCCGAACATAATAAAAACTCTCTATACACCAAAGCCACGTCCCAGTTCGCCTTAAGCACGTCCAAAACCCACCAAACATTTTAAGTCACTGAGTAGAGCGATGAGAGGCAGATACTAAAAAATGATGGTATCTACATCTTTATCTCTGCATGCCATCAAGATAATTCCTCCCAAATAAAACACATAAAGACTTTTTTGCTTTGTGAAGTAAGGAGTCATACGTTCGCTTAACAAAAAAACTTCAAAGGCCAACCATAAAGCATTGATGCATACTGGTTTAAGATTTACACATCTATGAGCTGTGACGACCAAACACTACCGTTCCCTTTACAAGTTAGTGACCTTGCCTTATTATCAAAATAGCAAGTTATCAATCCAGTGCTATTTTTATCATCATTATAGAGGACTTGAAAGGTATGACGTCAATGGCGGTGTGACAGGTGAGAGGTCATCTGATAGGTACAACCCCGCTCCATCATACAGAGACAGAACTTGACGTGAACAAATCCTGTTCTCCAATCAGATTGTCAGGAATGCTGTCATACGATAGTGAATATTGTGCATAATGTTCTAGATGGAAGTGAAAACTGTAAATATAATTTCAAGTCAGTTGATATAAAAGTATAAACCCGGGGTATATATGTGTATACAGAAAGGTACCTAGGGTATATATATATGCATACAGAAAGGTACCTAGGGTATATATGTGTACACAGAAAGGTACCTAGGGTATGTATGGGTATACAGAAAGGTACCTGGGGTATATGTGTGTATACAGAAAGGTACCTAGGGTATATATCTGTATACAGAAAGGTACCTGGGGTATATATGTGCATACAGAAAGGTACCTGGGGTATAAATGTGCATACAGAAAGGTACCTGGGGTATATATGTGCATACAGAAAGGTACCTGGGTTATATATGTGTATACAGAAAGATACCTAGGGTATATATGTGTATACAGAAAGGTACCTAGGGTATATATGTGTATACAAAAAGGTACCTAGGGTAAATATGTGTATACAGAAAGGTACCTAGGGTATATATGTGTACACAGAAAGGTACCTGGGGTATATGTGTGTATACAGAAGGTACCTAGGGTATATATGTGTATACAGAAAGGTACTTGGGGTATATATTTGCATACAGAAAGGTACCTGGGGTATATAGGTGCATACATAAAGGTACCTAGGGTATATATGTGTATACAGAAAGGTAGCCGGGGTATATATGTGTATACAGAAAGGTACCTAGGGTATATATGTGTATACAGAAAGGTACCTAGGGTATATATGTGCATACAGAAAGGTACCTGGGGTATACATGTGCATACAGAAAGGTACCTAGGGTATATATGTGTATACAGAAAGGTACCTGGGGTATATATGTGTATACAGAAAGGTACCTGGGGTATATATGTGCATACAAAAAGGTGCCCGGGGTATATATGTGTATACAGAAAGGTACCTGGGGTATATGTGTACACAGAAAGGTACCCGGGGTATATATGTGTATACAGAAAGGTACCTGGGGTATATATGTGTACACAGAAAGGTAGCTGGGGTATATATGTGTACACAGAAAGGTAGCTGGGGTATATATGTGTACACAGAAAGGTACCTGGGGTATATATGTGTACACAGAAAGGTAGCCGGGGTATATATGTGTATACAGAAAGGTAGCCGGGGTATATATGTGTATACAGAAAGGTACCTGGGGTATATATGTGTATACAGAAAGGTAGCGGGGGTATATATGTGTATACAGAAAGGTAGCCGGGGTATATATGTGTACACAGGAAGGTAGCCGGGGTATATATGTGTACACAGAAAGGTAGCCGGGGTATATATGTGTACACAGAAAGGTAGCCGGGGTATATATGTGTACACAGAAAGGTAGCTGGGGTATATATGTGTACACAGAAAGGTAGCCGGGGTATATATGTGTACACAGAAAGGTAGCCGGGGTATATATGTGTACACAGAAAGGTAGCCGGGTTATATATGTGTACACAGAAAGGTAGTCGGAGTATATATGTGTACACAGAAAGGTAGCCGGGGTATATATGTGTATACAGAAAGGTAGCCGGGGTATATATGTGTACACAGAAAGGTAGCCGGGGTATATATGTGTACACAGAAAGGTAGCCGGGTTATATATGTGTACACAGAAAGGTAGCCGGAGTATATATGTGTACACAGAAAGGTAGCCGGGGTATATATGTGTATACAGAAAGGTAGCCGGGGTATATATGTGTACACAGCACATGTGTGTGCTCATGACCCCAACAGCTTTATTGACAGGACATCAAGAAGATCTATCAACAAGGACTAAGACACACAGGCGATATCACCTGTGTACACGGCATACCTACCTACCAGCCTATTCAACAGCTCAGCAATGATCAGACAGGTCAAGCACGGTTGGTCAGATAACAATGGCTGTATAAACAGCTGGAATGCTGAGGTCACCGATGTTGTCTTACATGATATTCAAGTTCAGGGAACGAAATGAACTAAACCATTAAACAAAAAGCCGTTAGATGTGTTGATGGTAAAGAAAACACAGCTTGAAATGATTGATGCGATACTTACAAATCTATTAACAGGACGAGAGGGCTTTAGACATCAGGGCCAACATTCTACACAAATGTCAACTTATGATTAATTTGTCAAGTCAAGTATTTCAAGTACGTTGAACTTTAATACGGTTGTCATGATTTGATATGTGTCATAATAAACTGTAGAACATGTCAGGTCATGGTATCAGTGTAAGTGCATGTTGTTTTAGGTCCCAGTTACCAACATTCCAACATTATCTCAGTGAGTGAGTGAGTGAGTGAGTGAGTGAGTGAGTGAGTGAGTTGGGTTTAATGCCGCTTTGAACAATATTCCATTTATACGACAGCTTGATAAAGTCAGAAAGCCCAAAGTGATGCAGGCCTCAGACATTTACCACTTTGGTGAAACCCATGAGCATGGGTATGGTACTGATAAACCTAGAAACATAACTGAGCAAACCAAGATTTGAACCCCTGATCATTATGGCACACCCAAGGGATGCAACTCTGCACCATGAAATGTGGCACCTAAGATGACTTGGCTGCCTGTGCTCCCACTAGTGGTTAGACTATGATTACACACTTATCAACCAGGGCTCACTTTCACAAAGCTATCTTAGGGCTATGATTTTCTAAAGTCTATGTTAGAGTGGGTGAGTATGGTTTTACGCTGCTTTTTGCAATATACCAGCAATATTATGGTGGGGGACACCAGAAATGGGCTTCAGATATTGTACCCATGTGGGAAATAGAACCCGGGTCTTCGGGGTGACGAGCAAATGCTTTAACAACCAGGCTATCCCACCGCCCAGTCTATGTTAGAGTATCTAAGGGCTAAGATCGATTAGTTGAATGGGACTCTGGTCACTGTCATTGCGACCGCCAACCAGGCCAACACCCATCACTACTAGTCATGGGTATCAGGGTAACGGTTATTATCCCCCACCCAACAAAGTTGGCGGGGATATAGAAACGGGCTCCGTCCGTCCGTCCGTCACGTTTCGTTTCCGGAGCATAACTCAG